GCGTGTGTGTGTGTATAAATATGCAGCTAAAGTGGCCGCGAGTTGAGTGCTGCTGATGTATTTCTGAATAACCTGCTGTGCACTGAAGCCAAAATACCCATCCCAAATCATTGCGTGCTTAGGCTGACATATATAGTAGACCCCGGATAGATACATATATTGAGAAAAACAATTGTTAACAATAATCCGATATGCACGAAATATCCGGATATCAACTTTGCAGACAACATGCATAAGAGTGCTTTGTCCATAGGTATCCTGAGGACCACAGTCGTCTGTACATAGCTTGATATATCTGTATCATACAGTTGCTGCACTTGTGCAGTATATTCCGCGCCACAAAACTTCTTGTTCTCCAGTTTCTTGCCGATCGTTCATGCGCCGGCTTTCATTTACCATCAGCAAGTTGTTGGATTTGATAGTAGGTAACTAATAACAAGTATTGACCATCCCAACTTCCAATCTTAGTAAGGCTAAAATTCTTAATCAACACAGTTCGATAACCCTACACCCCAAATCCTAAAACTATAGGCACCAATGTACTGTGCGTTTCTCCCGTACGTGTACAGATGATGAAGGAGGACGTGCCGATACACTTTTACATTGGGTTGGGTAACCACAAGATGGGCAACAAGGTTGCTGCCGTGTCTATTTGGGAGAAAGGTACTGATCGTCCGCCGGATTATGCATAGTTCACATAAATATACACCGATGCGTATATATATATATAATTGAATACACGTAACCTTCGCCTAAATTCTATTCGTCATTTCGTATTCTGCATAGCTATGCGCATGGATCTTACGGACGAAAATGTGTCCATACGTATGTCGTTGACCTAGTCACAGAACGCGTTATATCATTATCCGTATAGTTGCATGTATGCCACTAGCCACTGTTTTGATGCGGGACGAAAATGCACAAAATTTTATATATCTGGATATTCAACCGTGTAAATTCATCGATTGATACGTTAACCCTCCGTCTAAACTGCATACAATACTACACATTCTGTTACAGCTTTACGTGTGGATCCTGCGGACGAGAATGTGTACATACGTAGGTCGCTGTCGCTGTTGCTGGAAGAGTTGGGACATCATGCTCGAGCGCAGGCGGTTGTATCAGTTTTAGGTAAGAATAAGGTGCTGCTAGTAGTGTTCTAGGTCTATTAGGTAAAATTTATGTGCTGCTAGTAATGTTCAAGGTCTACTAGGGAAGGTTAATGTGCTGCTAGTAACGTTCTAGGTCTATTCAGTAAGGTTAAGGTGCTGCTAATGTTGTTCTAGGCCTATTCGGTAAGGTTACGGTGCTGCTAGTAATGTTCTAGGTCTATTAGGTAAGGTTAGGGTGCTGCTAATAATGTTCTGGGTCAGAGTATCGTATTATCACCCAGGAGTCACCCAGAAGCGCAGGTTTACAAGTCAAAGGATTGTTTTACACTGTATAAGCCAGCACCGCAGTATCCTGACTCTGCAACAATGGAAGTACGAGCATATGCGCTCTCAAACGAGAACGAGAATTTGCATAAATATAACTCTCGATAGCACTACAAGATGGGTTGACTACTCATTAGATATTTAGTATAATTGTCACCAGTGGCCGCGATATTAACGGATTGAACACAAAGCCGCTCGTTCATGACTGCCTGCGCATGCGTAGGAATATGTACTGGGTGTATTTGGGACGTAACCCAGTATCTACCAGCTCACATTGGTAAACCGAATTCTAAACCACGACTTATTCACCTAAGAAGAAAGTATGCCAACGCTGTAGCACTTGAAGCATTATCTGGCATTGGGACCAAATATTAAAACACGGCCTCTTTACCTAGAAAGAAGGTACGCCAACACTGTGGCAATTGAAGCTTTGGCTATGCTATACTACGACCTCCATAACACCTCGTACATTAATTATCGTACCAGCACCGTCGCAGCTGAGACGTGAGCTGGTGCTGCCCAGATTGGAGGGCGAGTATCGCGTGCACACACAAAGGACAAAGCCCGCAAAGGATGGTATGTTCTGGTTATGCATTTGTATTTGTCAGTCTCTACATACCTGTGTAGGTGCTGACGATCAGTTTGTCTTTTTGTGATTCCAGTCTGTTCATCGATGTGGTGCGATTGGCTGTCACCGTTGAGGTACCTTTTTGGAGTGGTCTGAGTGAGGGTTATACTCGTGTCCCATACGTGAGTTATCAAACACTGCTGCGGAGTCATAAGCATTCCCCAGCGCATCGGCGCAAAGCCCTAAACACATGCGATAACGCTAACAAGAACTGTGCCAAGGCATTGAGCTCGCACTACAACTGTTAATCGCGTCAAATTCCTTTCAATATGCCACCTACACGTTTATACAGTTGATCTTGTCAACCATTCACAGATACGATTATATAGCTCATCTCATCAACCATTAAAAGATAATCCATATAGCTCATCTCGTCAACCGTTCGATGTTACACAAACGTTCAGCCTTGGCCCTCAGTCGTGCTACCATGCTGCTGCATCAGTGCCAAGAACTGATCAAACTGGAAAAGTACGACGAGCTCCTGAACAAACACCTGCCCGTTATCAATTCGGTTGTCCGATATCGGGACAGGCAAGAAACAGTTGGATTCCAACAGCTTACCATGCAGGTAGGTCTGAAACACATGATTTGCCTTTGGGTGCTCTGAGTGGCAAACCATGCACACATACACACACATACACTATATATATATATGTATATTTATATTTATATTTATATTTATTTATGTATATATATATATATACATAATACATACACAC